GCAGCACGAACAGGCGACACAGGACGAGACGCAGGTGACACAAGACGAGACTCAGGTGACACAGGACGAGACTCAGGTGACACAGGACGAGACTCAGGCGCACGACTCTCTTTAAGACTGCTTGTCGGACCAGTGTAGGGAGAAGGACCAGGAAGTGGCGAGGCAGGCGGTAGCTGGGTAACATGCAAACCTACAGAAACATGCAAGGTATGAAATCGAGGGCTAACAACAAACATGCAAACCTACAGAAACATCATCTAGAGCTCCAAGAGGGGCTCGATCACAGCAAAGCAGTCGCCAAGGTAAAATTCCGTTTGTACCCCTCCCACGGGGGGGTTTTTTGCAGTTGCCGCTTCACACGACTTGATAAGGTAACCCACGGACTGCGCCCTCTATAGGGCGACCGATCACCGCTGCCTAAACTGGTGCAAGAATTTTGCAGCCTGGAATGATATTGGGTCGGCATTGATGTGTCGCCGAGCTGCTGAGTCTGCAAGCAGCTTCAGAAAAACAGGTACCTTCGCACAGGGGCAGCCGTATGTCTCCATGGCCAAGGGAAAGAAGCGCACAGTCTCAGGTAGGTTGGCGTAGTGCTTTATCTTCTTATCGGCCTGCTCCCTTGCTGCCCATCCCCTTCCCTTGGTCGCATTGGGATCCCTGGTGCTGATGGGGTCTGTGATTGTTACGTCACAGACATACACTGCTGCGCTGCTCCTGTCCCGCATGGTGAAGTCTGCAGTTTGGTCGTCGAACGGACAACATCCGGCCGTCTCCCCGTGCACAATGAAGCCTGCGTCTAGGGCCATGCTGATGCAAGCGTGGCGCAGTTCATTGTATGTGTTGATGCGGAGCTTGCCCGTTCTGGAGCGGAATAGGTGGTTTGGAAGACGGGGGTCCGTGATTGCCGTATGCTCCGTGCAGTCACAGTTTGCCAGCGTGGAGAAGGGTAGGCCTAGCTGAGAGCGGACTGCCTTTGCGAAATGAATAGGGCCGATACATCGCATTGCCTTGATGGGAATCGCTGTCAACCAGTCACCAGTGCCATAACCTGTTAATGAGAACATCCTCTGTGTGTGCCCTGATAGCGGGTTTAGCTGCATGCACCTGGTTTCCCGCATCTGGACTGCATACCTACTCCCATGCACTTGAAGCACTAGAGCACGCTGCAGCTTGATTCCTTTCGGGTCCAATCTCCCCTTCTCCAACACCTCCCTTGCGTCTGTGGGCAGTGCCGCTTAACACTCATACAGCCACGAGTGCAATAGTGTGGTCACGTCTTGCGACAGTAACATATGTGTCTTGACTGTCAAAAGGTTATGATCGGCGTCCAGGGGCAGTGATGTTATGTGATGCTATCATTTGCATTCACTTCTGTCTGCCTCCCATCATATGTTCGTGCGTTGCATGCGTGGTGTGAGCGTGTGTAAGAATTTGTGTTCGGTGTGGTTTGGATTTTCTGAGTGTGTGTGGATGTTATTCTGCTTGAGCATATATCTGAAATGACTTCTCTGCTCAAGAGCTTTCCGACGAACCAAGAATCGTCGCGATCGGAGCAAGAACGGCGAAGTTATGTTCGTTCAAAGTTTGGATTGGGATGCGACGACTTTTGGAAGTTTGTTGAGTGTCTCAATGTGGGGTATAGACTTTTGGGGGTTGGAAAATTCGTCCACATCACTGTAGATGCTGCCAAGTGGTTGGGAGAAACCAAATTGGGCTGGCAAGTGTGGCCAACTTGGGTGAGGTGAATTGTGGAGGTTGGAAAAGTGACAAAAGTAAAAGTGGGGTTGCTATAGGGAGGGGACTTGATGTGCTTATGGGATTTCCTTGATTGGGACTCCTTGGGGACCTTCCCTCTCATCCTCCTCTTCCCTCCTACCTGGATTCTAGCTACTCTAACTCTCTTGTGTGGCACTAATGCGTTAATTGCTTTTTGAGTTAAGTTTCAATTGTAGCATACCCCCTAGTGCGCCGAAATTGATAACTTCAGATATTCTTCGCCTTTCCGTACGATTCAAATTGGGAAATGTAGCCACGGTCTAGAGCTACAATATATTCGAAATTGGTGAAGTTTTAACTGTGAGTTTCTTGTCGACAACGTTTCTTGTGAAGTCGACGATTCTGTCCAGAAAGTTAGTCCAACGATTTTGAGTTATTTCGGCCCTCAATCTTCATAGGCTCCGTCCTTAGTCTCTAACAAGTGAGTCTATGAAAAGCACCGCCTGGCAGAAGCTCGCAAGGAATCCGTCAATCTCTTCGATGGTCGGGTCTGTGAGACCGATCCCCCCAAGTGGCGGTGGGAGCGACACCTGTGCCCAAACCCGCGCTTGCTCTATGGAGCTAGTCGGTACACATATGTCGCACGCTCTTAGTAGGGTGGTCAAGAGGTCCCTGCCCCATTGGGCCCATGTCTCATGCGCCAAAAGGTCGAGCGGTGTAGTTCTAGTAAGGTATGCTACGCGACGGGATATGCAGCGGGTCAGTAGAAGCGAGGCTACCTGTGGGTCCATTTTCTCCAGCAATGGGAGCGGCTTCGCCATCTCTTCAAGTTGTGAAACTAAAAACTTGGCAGCGCTTGCAGGCGGACCCAGGTAGCTGCCCAGGAGACGCACCCCTTCCGCACAGAAAGGCACACCTAACCCAGGTAGCGTTGTAGCGCTAACGTTGTCTTTGCACCAGGCTGTGCATTTCCCTGGGTTGTGCGTGAGGCCGAGATGTGCGAGTTTGTTTGTGAAGTGGGTGAAGGCAGTTACTGTAGCGGTAGTTTCCCCCATGAATGTTACCTCGTCAGCGTAGGCGAGGCACAGCACCCCAGGATGGGCCGCTGCTATGTCGCTTAGTGCTGTTGGAAGTGGATACTCGAATAGCTCAAAGTGGTCTCCCCAAGGGCTACAGGTGTCGTCCTGGGGGGGTATGGGTGCGCTGACCCACCAAGGAAGCATGCCCTTTTATCCTAGTTGGTTAGCGGACTGGAATTCTATCCCTGCATGGTGCGGTGAGCGTGGAGGACCAGGGTTCGATTCCTGTTGTTGGCGGCTTCCTGTGCCCTAGTGGTGGGCCCTCCCAGTGAGGGGAATGTTGGAAGCGGACACTGGAATGGCCCGAAGTGGTCTCCCCAAGGGCTACAGGTGTAATCCTGGGGGGGTATGGGTGCGCTGACCCACCGAAGAAACATGCCCTTTTATCCCAATTGGTTAGCGGACTGAAATGCTATCCTTGGAAGTGCAGGGTGTATTCCAGCCGCGAAGAGTAACGGGCCGAGTGGGTCCCCCTGGCGGACCCCTCGTTCGCTTTTTAGTGGTTTGCTCTCCAAGTTGGCGTCCAGGTGCAACTGCGACGGGTACCGTAGGCCAGCTGTACCAACGGTAGCAGTGGCGAGAGACTAGGCTCCTGTAACGTTGTTGCGATCGCTTGTCGCGAAATGCTGTTGAAAGCATTTGTAAAGTCCGTTTGTAGAACCAGGCTATTGGGACGGGTGTCTGTGAATGCATGGGCTGCGTGGATAACAGCCTCTGCTCCACCTGGCACTGCGACGCCGTACTGTAGGGGCAGAAAATGTTCGCGGGCAGCTTCGCCTATGGCAGTCAGGCGCTGCTTTGGCTGTCAGCCGAGTCAGGCACTCGCCTATCGCGATTGGCCGGGCACCTCCCCCAGGCTTGGCCAAAGCTTTGAGGCGTGATGCTGTCAGCAGGTCAGCTACCGGCCCTTGTAATTTTCCTCCCACGATGGTGTTAACCAAGGCGTGCAGATGGGTGCCGACCAATGCGTTGGTGATTGTCGCGTCGCGCAGGTGCTCGAATGTCGTGTCTGACGGTCCGGCCCCCACGCTGTTTTCGCATCTACTAAGAAGTTAGACGAATCCGGCGTGGGTGATGGACAGGTTTGACGCTCGTGTTGCTTGCCAGGTCAGCATTTTCCAGCAAAGCTTGTCCATAATGTCTGGACTAGGTGTGCAGACAGGCGTTGACTCCACGGCCAGCACGGCTCAGCGCAAACTGCCACGTTTCGCCAGGCTCTCGGCTTGGCTGATGACTCCTATTACATCGGGCTGGTGTCGTGGCGGTGGAGGGGTGTTGACCACGTCGACCGCGTCTTGGTACAGCTGCTCCCATTCGCCACTCTGGAACGCTCGGAGCCGAGCCTTGACATGTGGCCAATTTGGTCGTTGGGGCAAGGTTTGGCAGAGTGTCAGGCGTGGGAGAAAAAGCAGCAGGCGCCATCCCATTTCGAACTCTTGGTTTCGCGATAGTTGGAGTAGCGGGGATAGTAGTGCCAGCAAAAACAGCTGACACATGTTCGGCGGTAAACGTCATGACAGAGGTAGTTGTCGACTGTCGCATAGTGCTGCAATGTCCCAGTTCGCGATGTCAGCGAACTTGTCTGTTCGCTGACAAAAAATAGCGGGAGTTTTGAGGGGCTTGGCGCACCGCGGTCTCGGTAGCAGCGGTTCGATTTCTTTGAGCACGGATTGATCTCGTGATTGGAATTGTGGCCGTCCGATCGACAACGGAAAGTTCTTCTTCGGTTCCCAATCTTGGCGACGCTAATTGCCTTGTGCCTACTCCCCCTCTCTCAGTTGTGTCCCTCGTCCCTTCGCCTTCGTCTGAGTCTCCACTCTCGCTGACGGGGAATGCTTCTTCCCTATACGTAGGGTCCGTGCTTCCTTCGACTTCATTAGTTCCTTCTAATTCGATTTAAGCACTGCGCCCCGCTGCTTGATACCCGTTCTCCGGACCCCCGCCTACTCCGCTAACGGCCTGTCTCTCCACTCCGCAACCTTCTAGTTCCCGGGATGGTATTTGCCGGTGCGCCTGAGCTGTCGCCAGTGCGCGCTACCGCCGCGTCGGCTGTGTTTGCCAAGCCCCAGTCGGAGCCCGGAAAGGCGACCATGGCGACGAAACCCCTTGAGCCGCCGGCTCCGAAGCCCGTGACAACACCCTCTGGAATGCCTCACTCCCCCGCATCCGTGGTTCCTGTTGCGGTGTCTGCACCATCTCTCGAGAATGTTCAATCCGCGTCTGTTGTTGCTCCGCCTGCTCCGGCTGCGTGCTGTTCCCCCGACTCTCTCCGTTGCACCGCCAGCGTTCGCCCTAGCTGCGACTGACGTCCTTGCTGCTCCGCCTATTGGCGTCGCGCAGGTGGTTGTTGCTGGCGCCGTGGCACTGCAACCGGTGGTGTTCGCCACCACTGATGTCCTGGGCCAGGTAGCGCTCCCGGTCGCTCCCGCCCCTTCGACTGCGGCAACACCAATGCCGACCCCGATCGTCCAGGCGGTTCCTTCTTCTGCGCCGCTTGCTGCTGCTCCGCCGACTCATCGCCCGCCGTCTCCAGGCCCCCGGCAGCATTGGCCTCACTCCCCTGTGCCATGTCATCAGAGAGAGAGAGAGAGAGAGAGGTCGAGGCGGCGACACGATTCTCCTCGGCGCCGTGGTTCCCAGGCAAACTGGGCTGGATCCCGTGGCGGTCGCGGTGGCTGGTGTGGAGGGCGCGGTCGTGGTGGCGGCTGGGCGTATGATCAGCCGGTGTCGATGGCAGATTTGCAGCTTGTTGTTTCTGCTACGCGAGCGCGAGGAGCCAGAGCAGCGCACCGTGCATCGCTCCAACTTGTGCAACTCCTCCTCCTCCTCCTGCGCCCCGTGCGTCAGCAACTCCTCTTCCCCGGTCAGCTGTTCCACCTCCCTTTGCTCCCATTGCATCTGCTGCGGCTCCTGGGAATCGCATGCGGCTGCCGTGGGTTCCTCCTGTGGCGGGTATTGAATTCATGACCACGGCAGGAGGACCTATGACGGCGCAGTATCCGTCCCTCCTACCCGTAGATCATGCTCCTTCGGCTACTGTGCTGATGGTTCAGTTGTTGGTGGGGCCCTGTGCTTCAGCAGAGGTGCTGGAGGCGTCTCTGGGGCAACTGTGGCGCCTCTCTGAGGGTCTACGGGCTGTTCACCTGATTCAGGTGTATGGTCACGTGGCTCTCTCCCAGGGTGTTTCTCTGGATGGCGGCCCTCGGGACGAGTGCCTAGATGCCGCTGATCGGCTTGCCGAGCTCCTGGCGCCCGTGTTGGTTGCGCCTGCGAGGGGTGGAGTTGCGGGCGTTGTACAGCTTGGGACTGCTCTCCATGGTCTGTGGCGGTTTTTGCGCGCAGGGACTGCAGTTGACTTGATCGGTGCAACAACAGTGGTGGTGCACGAGCTTCATCTCTTGTTGACGGGCCTTCTTGCCTTCCTTGACGCGGATCAGATGTAGGATCCGCATGCCCTTGATCCATGGCTTCGCTAGTAGGTAGATCCCACTGCCATAAGTGTATGCCGATGCATTATAAAGTAGTGATGCTTCTGTTGCGCTTGTCACCCCTCATGCGCGGCCGAAGGACACGCTGTCGAGCGTCGGCCGCTGAAGACGGCCCGCGTGAGGCGCTCGGTTAGGAGAATGAAAACCAAACAATGAGGAACTAGGCTGGATGCTAGAGCCTTTATACTAAGGAACTAGGGCTGAGAGGCTAAGGGAGGAGGCCTAGGTACCTCTCTCTCTCTCTCTCTCTTGCTCTCTCCCGCTCGGTTAGGAGATTGAAAACCAAACAATTGGTTAGGAGAATAAAAACCAAACAATCCCCCTACTGCTACTGCTGCTGCGGGGGGGGGGGGGGGGGGGGGGGGTGCTTTAGGGGATGTGGGTGGTGTGATCCAGCTGCAAAAACTTCTACCTCCTCCTCCTCTCTCTAACTCCCGCGTCTGCTGCTGTGGGGGGAATGTTGAGGGGGTGAGTGAGTCCAGCTGCAGCATCAGCCGCCTCCTCCTCTCATCCCATCCCATGCTGTCCGTGCCCTTCTTTGCTGCCCCGTGCTCGCCCCGTGTTGTTGCCCGTGTTCTGCCCATGCCTCCCGTTGCTGTCGTTCCCGAGATTCTCGTGCTGCCCATGCTTGCTGCCCGTGTCTCCCGTGCCACCCGTCCCCGTGCTTCCTCTGTTGCCCATCTTGTGTTTCCCATGCCTCACGTGCTTCTCGTTCCCGTGCTGCCCATACTGCCTGTTTCCGTGCTGCCCGTGTCAGAATCCCAGCCACTAATCACTGGGATAAAAGGGCTAGTTTGTGTAGCGGGTGAGTGCGCCCATAACCCCCCAGGCCAACGTGCCTGTAACCCTTCCCTATGATCAATCGGGGATCACCAGTGGACCTCTGACACCCCCCCGCACTGGGATGCCCGAAGTGCACACACCGGAATTCGAACGCGAGACCTTCGCTCTGATAACATGTTAGAATCCCAGCCACTAACCACTGGGACAAAAGGGCTTGTTTGTGTAGCGGGTGAGTGCGCCCATAACCCCCCAGGCCAACGTGCATGTAACCCTTCCCTAGGATCAATCGCGGATCACCAGTGGACCTCTGACAGCCCGTTCTGCCCGTTCCCACCGGCCGTTGCTGTCGCCCCGTGCTTCTCATATTCCTACCGTGGTCTGCCCGTGTTCTTCTCGTGTACTCCCATGCTGCCCGCACCGTCTTGCCGTCTGTACTGCCGCCCCGTACCTCCCGTGCTGCCCGATCCCGTGTCTCCCATGCTGCCCGTTCCCGTACTGCCTTTGCTGCCCATTCCCGTCGCCCATGCTTGCCGCCTGTTGCTGTCGTTCCCGTGCTTCTCGTGCTACATGTGATTGCTGCCTGTGTCCACCCGTGCCTCCCATGTTGCTCGTGTCCCTTCCCGTCTTCTATGCTGCCTGTGCTTGCCGCCCATTGCCGTCGTTCCCGTGTATCCCGTACTACCCATGTCATTTTCCTACCCGTACATATGTGTGGAGGGGGACGGTTCCAAGGGAAATGGGGGAAAACGGAGTGTGAGGTAAAAGGGGGAGGTTGAATGGAGGGGTGGGGACTTGGGGGTTATTAACGGAGGGACAAGGGGGGGGGGGGGGGGAAGGAGGGGAGGGTGGGGGGGGAGAGGAGAGAGATCGCTATGAGCAGTCACGCTCATGCCCTCCTATCCCACCTCCTTTACAGACATCTATGCCGCTCACGAGCCAGTTGCCATCTCCAAATGGGTGTGTGCCATTCCTTTCATGCTTTAAACACAACTATTTATGCGCGCACTCATCAGGGTTCCTTGTGCCCACAACATGTGTTTCTCGTCCCTGTCATGTCATAACCACCCCTGACCATGTGCCTCCCCCTCCAAGTCATGTATTTATGGGTCCACATCATGTGTTTCCCACCCCTTATCATGTCTGTCCTACCCCCCATTCAACTGATCTCATGGCAGAAGAAAATACTGCACTCCTCAGGGATTCCCACATGGAAGCACTGGCTGGGATCATTAATTGCCTTGCCCACCTCGCTGTGACCTGCACAGCCATGCGCACTGCCTCGCGCCCCTCCATGTCACGAGTGGCCCAAGACTTGGAAAGTCTACGAGAGGAGGCATGAGGGGGGGATGTGAGAGCGAGGGTTTCAGCAAGGGTTGACAAGAAGCTGTCGAGTCAGCAGTTACGAAGAAGCATGGAAGAGGACCTTGCATTATTGAATAAGCAAGTGAAGCACGAGGGTGAATCAACGGTTGCTGAGGTGCCACAAAGGTCACCTTTTGAAGAGGTTACGAAGGAGCATGGAGGAGGATATTGCCTTGTTGAATGAGCAAGTGACACATGAGGGTGAGTCAGCGGATAGATTTATGCAGACACAAGGGACAGAACCGTTTTTGAGTGACAGCTCATGAAAGGAAACCAAACTTCAGGATGGGGGTCTAGACCTGTCTGTATGTCCAAGAGGGGGAAGAGGGGGGGGGGGGGGGAGGGTTTACAATACGGGCATGTGCCTGGGATCTAGGGTATGGCGGTAGCGAATGGGTCGATGCTACCATTATAATACAACTAGAATACCACGACAACAATCACACAATGGCAAACTTCTTAAACGTAAAGTACATCTTTGAGTATTAATGAACATATCTTGACAAGCAACTAGAGTAGAGAGCACACTGGCAAAATATTGGAAAGGCTTTCAACAAAACCGGCAGGGTGGAGAAGGGGAGATTAAGGGTCTGCACTTCAGATCGGTGCCACACATGGTAGGGAGGGCTAAGCAGTCATGATGAGTGGCCTCACCACGTCATTACCATCATGCTCCCACATGCTGCAGGCAGTACACATGTGGGGCCAAGTATTCATGCCCCGTTGCATGGGAGAGCCACATGTTGTAGGTAACAATGTGGTCATGATGAGCGGCCTCTTCATGGCGTTGTCCTCGTGCTCCAGCGCGTGGCAGTGCCATACATAGCCCAGACCCTCTGTGGTGTCAAAAGGGAACGGCTTGCCATTCTGCACATGGAGAGATATGTGAGGCAATTCAGACATGGACGAACAGAGGGTTGGCATAGCTAAAAGGGTTGAGAAGAGGAACAATGCAGATCGAGAGGTAAGAGAGGGCAGTGAGGGGTGGAGAGGTGGAGGGCGCAAGTGGATAACTTAGGCGCGGCTGGTCAGGAAACGCAACAGCGGAGTCCTTGTTTCCCTGTCTGTACTCCAACTCAGCCATTCCTCCCCAAAAAACCATCTCTTCTGTTCCTACGAGAAGAGAAAAACGAATAAAAGTACTAGGTAACAGCTTTGCCTGGACCCGAAAAAGGTGGTGAAAACACTACCGGGGCTCGAGGGATATAGTAGTGTTGTCTTTTCCCCCTCTAGCATCTTCCTCTCCACCACACTGCAATGCGTCTCACTCACCTGCCCCTTGAACAGCACAAAGATGGTGAGAACGCTATTGGGGAATGCAACAGTGGTGTCCTTGCATTCCCTCTCATGTTATGGCACGGCCCGGGCCGACCCAATGAAGAAGCTGGGCTTGAAAGGCAAGGAGGGCATAAGCAAACAAGAGCCTTTGATTAGTCTGCCAGAGTTGATCGAACGGCGGGAGATGGGGCAGTGTTGTATGAGGTAAGAGGTGGATGGGGTGCGTCTAGTGTGTCGGGTTGATGATGTGCCATAGCACCGAAGTTCCCTGAAATAAGGATATTTGAAAGGCAAATGCCAAAGAACACAACAAATGATTTTTAAGCAGAACCAACTGATGCACTTCCAACGGAGAAGGAAAGATGGCATAATTTTGACTTGCGAGCATACGCTTGTACTAGAAGAGCCGAGACTTAACTAAAAATGCCATGACAAGGGCTTCTATGTTCACCACTTTGGGCTTCTCAGATGCTTTGTGCTCACCACTTTGAGCTTCTCAGGTGAACTTTGCTTCTCAGGTGCTCAGTGCTCACCACTTTGGAATTGTTAGGTGCCCTGAGCACACAAACTTGGGCTTCTTAGGTGCTCTGTGCTCACCACTTTCAGCTTTTCAGGTGCTCGGTGCTCACCACTTTGGGCTTCTTATGTGCTCTGTGCTCACCATTTCGAGCTTCTTAGTCTCTACGTGCTCACAACTTTGGGCTTCCCAGGTGCTTTGTGCTCACCAATTGGGGCTTTTTAGGTGCTCTATACTCACCACATTGGCCTTCTTAGGTGCTCTGTGCTCACCACTTTGGGCTTCTCAGGTGCTCTGTGCTGACCACTTTGGCCTTCTCAGGTTATCTATGCTCACTATTTCGGGCTTCTCAGGTGCTCTATGCTCAACACTTTGGACTTCTCAGATGCTCTGTGCTCACCATTTTCGGCTTCTCAGGTTCTTGATGCTCACCACTTTGGGCTTCTCGGGTGCTCTGTGCTCACCACTTTGGGTTTCTCAATTGCTATGTGCTCACAACTTTGGGATTCCTAGGTGCTCAGTGCTCACCACGTTGGGCTTCTCAAGTGCTCTGTGCTCACCGCTTTCAGCTTCTCATGTGCTCTGTGTGCGGAGATAACTTCAACAACGGGAGCTAGACTACGAGCTGGGCACGGGTGCTTATATGGTCTGTGCGTTCGTTCCTTAGTTGTTCTCTAGCACTTGTGCATTCACGGAGCAAAACCGCAAGAGTTTCACTAGCAAAATTTGAGAACAATGGTTCAAAATGATAGCAACAAAGTTGGCATGCAAGGCTACATCAGACCTAGCAAAGCTGCTGGTCGACTTCCAGCACAGCACGGTCGACCGCGTGCCAGCACGACTTGGTCGACCGCGTTCCAGTAGAGCAAAGTTGCGGCTTGCCAACATTGCAAGTCCACGGTATGCCTAAGCTGCAGCAAGTCGGCTACACAGCGTTGCACCCGAAGGACAACGGTGCACCTTCTTCGTAGGTGCGCGTAGCTGGTTGGTGCACACGTGCACAGCGCAGACGCCC